ACTAAATCTGATTTTACATGTGTCTTGCTATTTCAAGATTTCTATGAAAACAATGGAGAGCAAACTGGTTCCACATCTTTTCTTTGCAGGAGAGGTAAACATTTCTACAAACGTTTAAAACATTAGTCAGTCACTCACATACACACATACCAATACATGTAGCATCATATCGTTTCTTACATTTGGGTCTTAAGGTACTAAATGTAGATGGAGTTACAGGAGGCTTCAATTTCCAGGTGAACATACACATTTCGACATTTTATGATTTTGAGATACGATTGTAAAATGTCCATATCTATTAAGTAGAAATCAAAATCATGAATTTGAAGTATAAGACGTAATCAAAATGTTAAAAATGGTATATTCATTCATGCAAGTACTGTTTTATGCAGAATGCTTGGTCAGGTGGATATATCGCAGGCACCCACATCGGCAAATTAGCAAGTAACATAAGTTCTACAGAAAGAAAAGTAATAGGATTATAGTTTTCGTAAAAAGACAAGTACTGTAATATTTCATTTTTTCTATTATGATCTATGCATGAACATAATTTTGTTTTCTCAAACTAATTTGACTACTGAACAAATCCACCTTTTTTACCATTGTTGTGTTCATGGTTCTTCATTGTTAGATAAACTCTCTCCTGCCTTGGAAATTACATGTTTGTGCTAATACTAACAATTGTGATAAAAAAAAATATCATCAATTTTAATAATATGCAGACTTCGTAACTCCATTCTTTTGCAGCCTTTGAAGAGAGAGTAAACAGATTCTTCGTTTTGTAAGGCAAGACACTGAACCTCCTTAAGATTGAACTCAATAAAACATTTATTAAGAGTTTTGATTTGTGAAATCAATTCTTAGAAAGAAACCCCGCGACCAAAAAAAAGAAAGAAACCCTTCGTCTACATGATCATAATTCATAAGCTAATCTTTGTTGGACCCTACGCTGCATGGAATCGAAAACGGCTTTAACAAAAAAAAAAAAAATGGAATCGAAAACGGGTATGCGGAAACGAAACGTTAGGAAACGTAGAAACGAGTTCTTAAGAAAAAAGTCTAAAATCTCATTTACTCCATCTAAGTCATCGATCTCATCCCTTTCACTCTATTTTGGTGTTTGAAATCTTCGTCATTTTTCGCATATTTTGTTTTCTTATGCTCTTCAATCAATATATAAACACGAATCTTTTACCAAATTCTGTTTCCACCATTCTTTTTTTGTCTCTTATCACATCTATAAGACATTTCAACTCCATTTGATCCGAGTGTTAGACATGAGAGAGGTGCATTTAGCCTACCCTTGAACCTCTTTGCTATTAGCCCATTTGTAATTCATGGACATTTGTAGTCTAAACGTTTGAATGTGAAGTCATTCTACGGGAAAACATATCTTTAGGATTTGACAAAAAATACAAAATCACGAAATTAAATTTTGGCCGAAAACACGGAATTTGTTGTTGCTAATTAAATGTATTTTCTTAAGTATAATATAAAACCCACGTAAATGAGTCTCCTTCTCGATAAGAAGTCTCTTTACTTTCTTCTAGAAAAGAAATCAGAACAGAGCCATTGCATGTTCTTCTCTTCAATCTTACTTTCTCCACTTCTCCCAATCTTTCATTCATCTTTCAATTGACGATCCTACAAAGCAAACACACCAAAGTAATCAAGAATTGTACAATATCATTATTTTGTCTCTATTTCACCATATGTTTTTGAACATTCTCACGGATTTGTGTTTTCTATATGTTGTCTAAACTAAAGCCAAAGGACATCTAACCGAATCCAACCTACCTAATTAGTCCTTCCTATTTTCACAAACGAAATTCATCAAATAGAACTTACTTTGAAGGTTGTTTAGAAATACTTTTGGAACACTGTTTCCTCCTTGTTGTAGTACTTCAACACCGCTACATAAACTTCAATGAGCATATGTGGGAACTTTGGAGTAATGTATTCATTGAATCCATCCGGATATGTTCCCAGATGTTATTTGGTAAGATATCAAGACACAAATAATTTTACGACCTCTTTCAAAAGTAAAGTAAATAAGACAAACCTTGATATTTCCAGGGAGCTGTGAATAGTGGCTCACCGTGTTCCTCACAAGTCGTAACAAATGACTACCTTTCTTAAATTCGTAACGAAGGTTTAATTTCTCGTCCTGGTTCTGTTTTTTAACATAAGCCAAAAACTCAGTAGATAGGCTTGAATCCCATGAATACCCTCCCATAATGGTTATTCCTCTCTTCTCCAGATAGGTCAAGATTTTTTTGGAATCTGGATCCATGTCCATTCTTTCATTAACAGCACGCAAAAATGACGGCCTCTTGTCAAGTTTCCAAAACATTGGATGTTTGATGACTTCACTTGCAGTAAACCAGGAAATAAACAAACAAAGCAAATCATATTAGATCGTTGTGTTTCATAAATTTCACAACAATCGTTAAACAAAGATACTTGATTACCGTGCACGAGGAATGTGATTCAACAAATTGTGAATCAGATGAAAACTTTCAGGTTTATCGTACTTTCATAATATCAAAAATTTTGGATGTAATGTTAAAAGTTCGTTTATCACTTTTTCCAAATGGATGTTTACCACCAGTGATGATGAAGAATATTATACACCAAAAACTAAACAAATCAACCGCAGTTGTTTCATCCCCTCTAACCAGTTGTTCACGAGCTTGCCAATCACTCCTATGGCTACCATCTCCAACTTTTACATAGTTTGATTAAGCATTTAACTAAAAACTTAATCATCTAACTAGTCCACCACTTAACAAATAAGTATATAAACTAATATGTGGTGTATGGCAAACTAAGGATAGGATAACTCACTTAACAAACAATTATATAAACTAACCTCCTGTGGCAAAGTAACAAAAGGATAACTCATTTTTTGATAGAAACTTGCTTGCACTAAACTCTGAAATCTTGGCAGCCAATTTTTGTGTTCCAGTAAGTACTATTTGCACACTACGTGGCTCTAGCTTCCTATGAACTATTCTCTTTTTGTGCATTTTTTGTGCATGTCATAAACTCCTTCAACGATATCCCTCGTCCAAAGAAAAGTTTATAAAGTATTCACGTAACTACAAATATCACAAATAATATTTATACACACAATTTAAATCCAAAACTAAACTTACCGGATCAACTTTAGCTTAAGAGGCGACAAAAGGAACTTATCTTTCAAACTTTCACCCTTTTTCCATTGTTCATTATAACCTTTGCAATCACCATCCTAGTTGCACCTATATCTTCAGTGGGTTGTATGGTTTCCCATTTTTTGTCAACCTCGAGGACTTTCCATAAACCTTTTTTTGTTTTGAATTTGGAAATAATTTGAGAATTACCATATATTAGTTAAGATTTTCCATAAGATTTTTTCTAAAATTTTTGTTCCTTGAGTTGTACCCCCGAAGGACATAACCATTGTTTTGTTGAGAAAGCTCCATTCTTCTGTAGCTTCTTAAGAAAGAGAAAGAGAAAAACCAAAATTTTTTTTGCCTATCACTTCTTGCTCACTTTTAATTTTATAAAGCTCCGATTTTGATTCTAGAGAATGCTTGAGATGGAAGATATGGATTTGGTAATGAAATTTGAAAATGATCAAACATCATCGTTTAGTATTTCTTCCTTACAAAAAAATTATGTTATGTAACTTATGTTGATGTTTCAAGATAGTTTTCCCATGGAAAAGGTCTTTGAGACACTTTGTTGCGATACTAATGGATTGTCCACAAAAGCTGCAGAAGAATGTCTAGCCATCTTTGGACACAACAAGTTCATGATCTCTCTTTTATATTTTGTCTTTTTTCACTTTCATAAAATGATAATGATTAGTAATGGAGTAAATTATGCAGGAGAGCAAAATCGAAAAGTTCTTTGGGAATCATTTGTCATGGGCTATGGAAGCTACATGTTCTTAGATTTTTGTAATGGCTCATGTTCTTAGAGATGGCAAGTGGGTCAAGGAGGATGCGTCGATTCTGGTTCCAGGAGATATCATTCGTGTAATGGTTGTAGATATAATTCTAGCAGATTGTCGTTTGCTCGAAGGTGATCCTTTGAAAATTGATCAGGTAATATATATTGCTTATGAACAAAACATTAGTCCCTACCAGATGAATTTTGTACTAAAAATCAGTTTCTGATCCTATCGGGTTTCTAGTCTGCTTTAACAGGAGAGTATCACCCGGTAACTAAACGTTTTGGTGATAACGTCTACCATGGTTCTACCTGCAAGCAAGGAGAGATTGAGGCTGTGGTTATTGCCACTGGTGTTCACACTTTCTTTGGCAATGTCAATGTGATGCGTCCCAACCAGAATTTAGGTAATAATACTTGGCCCAACCTCTGGATGTAGGCATAATAAGTAAAACTAACAAAGAGAGCTTAACTTAAACAAGAAATGGAAATCTTCATTGTGTTATCTTTTTTCCATTTTCGCACATATGTGATTAACCCACTGGATGTATTGGACAATGTCGCTTTGGACCTCGATGAATGAAGACCCGGGTTTCCAGAATGTAAACAAGAAAGTTTATGGCTTATACAGAGTCGGAAAAATCTCAAACTTTATCTTGTAACAGCCACATAAAACTGTTGTACTTTTCACTTTTCAGGCATTGACCGCCGTTGGATATTTCTGTGTATGGTTCATTTATGCGGTGATGAATGTGGAGTTGATCATCACATATCCGATTCAGCAGCGTGAATATCGTGTTGGAGTAGATAATATGTTGGATTCCAATTGCAATGCCCACTGTTTTATCTGCCATAATGGCAACTGGATCTCACTGGTTATATCAGCAGGTTGGTTTAAGTCTTGACATCTGCTGCTACTAGTCGAAAAACCGGTTTTATAAGAATGGCTATTCTTCTTTCTTTTTCCAGGGAGCCATCATCCAAAGAATGACTGCAATTGAGCAAAATGGCTGGCGTGGATGTTCTCTTCATCAATAGAACCGGGACCTTGACATTGAATAAGCTTTCAGTTGACAAAAACCTCATTAAAGTATATTCAAATTCTCTTGCCCACAAAAGTTTTGCCATACGCAGAGTTTTAAATAGATCATTGATGTTTCCCTCAGGTCTTTGTTTAAAAGTGTGGAGCCAGATGATGTTGTTCTTATGGCAGCTCGAGCATCGCGAGTTGAAAACCAAGATGCAATCGATGTAGTCGTATTTGGGATGTTAGAAGATCCCAAAGAAGTAAATCTAAGATCATAAGCTTTCCTCTTTTGTATTCAACATGACAAGTGTCTGCTAAACCTTCATTCGCTTCTTTTCAGGCACGGGCTGGGATTCAAGAGATTCATTTCCTTCCTTTCAACCGAAAAGATAGGCGAACAGCTCTAACGTATATCGACAATGAGGGTAAAATGCATCGGGTCAGCAAAGGTGCTCTAGAGCAGGTAAAGTAGAAAAGAAAGAATTTAATTTATCCATTAAAGTTTTGAACATCGAAAAAGCTTACAAGAATCTTGTGATTTGGCTGCCTCTCAGATTCTGAATCTTGTGCACAATAAATCTGAGATCGAACGCAGAGTTCATTCCGTGATAGATAAGTATGCAAAAAGAGGCCTACGGTCACTTGCAATGGCATACCAGGTAACAAAACCACCATTGCTTCACGGATACGAGATTGTGGATCATTTCCAAGCTAGGCAACACATATGCGGGATGACCCGTGATGGAGTAGACGATGTTCCAGCTCTCAAAAGAGCAGATATAGGCATAGTTGTTGCTGATGAGACTGATGCAGCACGTCGTGCTTCTGATATTCTTCTCAGTGTAATCATTAGTGTTATCCTCACAAGTAGAGCTATTTGCCAGAGAATGAAGAACTGCACAGTAAGTCCCTACTTCATAATCCAAACATTTCCATAATTCTGAACTCAAATTCTGTGATTCTCTCCTTTATTTTCCTGCAGATATACGCTTTCTCTATCACCGTTCTCATAGTGGCTGTACAACTTGATCTTGTACATTCCACTTGATCCCTTGAAGTTGTTCATTTATTACATTGGAAGGGATAATAATTACAAGGGAGAAGGGCATCAACTTAGATGGGGACACGCAGTCAAGACTCTTCACGGGTGTGACACACTTGAAAACGGGGTCACAGAGCACAACGATGATGGGATACCAAGAACGTGAAGATGAAGATGACTTGGCAATGGAAGGCGATGAAGTTCATCTTCTTCCACATCTTTGAGTTTCTTGTTTTGTAGGGATGGAGATCATCAATTTATTCCCACTTGGATTTAAACATCAAAAAACTATGAGTAAAAAGGAATTGATATGTCAAAAGAAAAAAAGTTTTCTTTCTTTCTTATACTTTTGGGACCTATTAAACAACTATGAAAAATTTGATCGATCTGAACCACTTTAATCAATCGATGTATCACACAGAAGGTCTTACATACTTGAAGACATAGCAGAATCAACAAGAGATATAATACCTTGCATCTTTTTGAAGTTTTAAAATTTAAAATTTACCGTTCGATATCTATGGAAATATGTCAAAACTTATTTATTGAAAAACATTTCAAAATCGTTGACTTTGTTTCATCTTTACTACATTAGTACTCAACAATATTTTGTTTCAAACAATTTGTATCTTTTTATTCTTTAAACCAAAAGACAACACAAGTACGAATAAGTAATTATAGACCGTCGAACCCAACACAAAACAAGTATAAAACACAAAGATATATGACGATGACGAGTAAACATTACGCTAGATATAACGACAATGAATAATACAACGCATATAAATTACAGTAGATATGATGGTAAAAAGCTGGTTTGACAAAATTGATCGGCGATTTAAAAAAAAAAACATTCATTATCCCCTGTGTCAATTTGATTAGTTTAAATACAAAAACATTCATTACCACATTTCCATTGTCTTAATCAAAATTGGTTTGGTCTTAAACTCTTTTAGCTAAGTTAAATAAAGATACAAAATTTTCTATAGCATAAAATCTTAGATTAATAGATATTTTGTAGAATAAAATGAATGTCAATAATACTATATATTATTTATATTTTATATGTGGGAGATTTTGAAAAATACCTTATTTATGTTTATTTTCCACCGTAAGATATGTCAATTACATATCTTTGTTTTGTGTGTGTAAACAGAAAACTTCTCAAATTAATTCATCTATCTCTTCTATATATATTTAAGATTTTTACATTAATATTAGTTTTCTTATTGAATATTATTATAATATATTTTTATGTCCCTCGTTAGAAAAAAATTTCTAAATCCGTACCTCCAAAGGACATATATAACCCCTTGTTTTGTTGAGAAAGCTCCATTCTTTTGTAACTTCTTAAGAAAGAGAAAAACCAAACTTCCTTTACCTATCAGTTCTTGCTCACTTTTAATATTACAAAGCTTTGATTTTGATCCAAGAGATTGCTTGAGATGGAAGCTATGGATTTGGTAATGAAATTTGATCATGATCAAACAAAATCTTTAGGCTTTCTTCCTTACAAAAAAAAATATGTTATGTAACTTATGTTGATGTTTCAGGATAGTGTTCCCATGGATAAGGTCTTTGAGACACTTCGTTGCGATACAAATGGATTGTCCACAAAAGCTGCTGAAGAACGTCTAGCCATCTTTGGACCCAACAAGTTTGAGGAGGAACAAGTTCATGATCTCTCTTTTATATTTTGTCTTTTTTCGCTTTCATAAGATGATAATGATTATTAATTAATGGATCAGAGTAAACTATGCAGGAAAGCAAGATCAAGAAGTTCTTTGGATTAATGTGGAATCTTTTTTCATGGGCTATGGAAGCTACATCAATCATGGCCCTTGTACTTGCCAATGGAGGAGTAAGTTGTTTTTTTGTTGAGTATCTTGATTTGAAAAGATTTTGAGATTAGTCTCTCTATCAGGGAAAGCCTACAGACTGGCAAGACTTTGTTGGGATCATTGTCCTGCTTCTCATTGATTCAACAATCGGTTTCATCGAATTGGAGAACAACGCTGGTATTGTTGCCGATGCTCTAATGGCGTATTTGGCACCCAAAACTACAGTATTGTTCCAGACACATTGATGTACATTTTATTGTTATTTGATGGGAATGCACTTAGATTTTTGTAATGGCTCAGATTCTTAGAGATGGCAAGTGGGTCAAGGAGGATGCATGGATTCTGGTTCCAGGAGATATCATTCGTATAATGGTTGTAGATATAATTCCAGCAGATTGTCGTTTGCTCCAAGGTGACCCTTTGGAAATTGATCAGGTATTGTGATCCTATCGGTTTTCCAGTCTTCTTTAGTAGGAGAGTCTCTCCCGGAAATTAAACGGTCTGTTGATAACGTCTACTATTGTTCTACCTGCAAGCAAGGAGAGATTGAGGCTGTGGTTATTGCCACTGGTGTACAGAGTATTTGGTAATGTGATGCGTCCCAACCAGAATTTAGGTAATAATACCTAGATTAACTTAACCAAGAAAGGGAAATCTTCATTGTCTTAGCTTTTGAGTTTTTTTCCATTTTTTCACATATATGATTAACCCACTGTATGTATTGGACAATGTTGCTCATCTCGTGGACTCGATGAATCAAGAAGCTGGTCGCTACCAGAAGAAGGTAAACAACACAGTTTTTGGCTTTTTGCTCATATATAGTCGGAAAAATCTCAACTTTATCTTGTAGCAGCCACATAAACTGTTTTGCCCATTGCACTTTTTAGGCATTGACCGCCATTGGAGATTTCTGTATATGCTTCATTGCTATGGGAGTGTATATGGAGGTTATGGTCATATATTCGATTCAGCAGCGTGGATATCATGTTGTAATAGATAATCTGTTGGTTCTGTTAATAGGAGGCATTCCAATTGCAATGCCTACTCTTTTCTCTATCATAATGGCAAACGGATCTCGCTGGTTATCTCAGCAGGTTGGTTTAAGTTTTGACATCAGCTGCTAACTAGTCAAAAAACCGATTTTATAAGAGTCTCTATTCTTCTTCTTTTTATAGGGTGCCATCACCAAAAGAATGACTGCAATTGAAGAAATGGCTGGCATGGATGTTCTCTTCATCGATAGAACCGGGACCTTGACATTGAACAAGCCTTCAGTTGACAGAAACCTCATCGAAGTATGTCAAATTCTCTTAATCACAACATTTTTGCTTCAAGCAGAGAATTAAATAGATCCTTGCTGTTTCCCTTAGGTCTTCGCTGAAAGTGTGGAGCCTGATGATGTTATTCTAATGGCAGCTCGAGCATCTCGAGTTGAAAACCAAGATGCAATCGATGCAGCAATAGTTGGGATGTTAAAAGATCCCAAAGAAGTATATCTAAGATCATAAACTTTCCTTTTTGTCTTCAACATGACAAGTTTCTGCTAAACATTCATTCGGTTTTTTTTTAGGCACGGGCTGGGATTCAACAAATTCATTTCCTTCCGTTCAATCGAACAGGTGTAAATGTGAAGATGATCACAGGTGATGTACCTTGATTGAGTTTTGTTATGTCTTGATCCATCAGTTCCTTTGAATCTGATGTAAGCATAAAACGTGTGTAGGTGATCAATTGGCCATAGGGAAGGAAACAGGACGCCGTCTTGGGATGGGCACAAACATGTACACTGCATCAGCTGTATTAGGAAAGTGTAAATATTACGAGTTAATCGAAGAAGCTGCTGGTTTTACTAGTGTTTCCCCAGGTACCTTCCGTTTGAGATTTCATCATTTTGTAACCTTTGTTTTCCGAGTCTGACCAAATGCTCTTCTGCTCACAGAGCATAGATATGAGATCGTGAGACATTTTCAAAATATGAATCACATATGTGGGATGACCAGTGATGGAATAGACGATGTTCCAGCTCTCAAGAAAGCGGATATAGGCATAGCTGTTGCTGATGCGACTGATGCAGCTCGTAGTTCTGATATTCTTCTTACAAAACCTGGTCTCAGTGTTATCATTAGTGTTATCCTCACAAGTAGAGCTATTTGCCAGAGAATGAAGAACTGCACAGTAAGTCCCTACTTCATAATCCTCATTGTTCAAACAAATCCATAATTGTGAACTCAAATTATGAATCTCTCCTTTATTTTCCTGCAGATATATGCTGTCGCCATCACAGTTTTCATAGTGGTACTTACCTGTTCATTTTTCGGTTGTAATGAAGTTATCATACATAGTTCTGACTGTCAACAAATCTTTCTTCTCGATTGATTCTCATGTGGCAGCTCGGTTTTTTGCTGCTTGCCCTCATTTGGCAATTTGACTTCCCACCATTCATGGTCATAATCATAGTGACTCTCAACTACAGTCTGTCTTTTCACTAGAACTTTGTCACTACAACTCTGATCCATATCTACTAAAGAGTCTGACTTTGGTCGGTGATTAGCGCTTGCAGGTACCATCATGAAAATCCCAAAGGATCGAGTGAATCCATCCCCTCAACCAGATAGCTGGAAAATGGGTGAGATATTCACAACCGGGATTATTCTAGGCGGATACTTGGCGATGATGACTGTCATTTTCTTCTGGGCTACTTGCAAAACGGACTTCTTTCCTGTATGTATATTCCAAGTTTAGCGCAAAGAAAAGTATCATAATAATTGCTGCTTCATAGTAATGTTGAGAGCTTCACGTTTCAGAGAACAATTAAAGTGACAAGTCTTCACAAAAAGGATGTAAAGAATTTCATGCTTGCCTCTGCAGTGTTCCTGCAAGTCAGCACCATCAGTCAAGCACTGATCTTTGTAACAAGATCCCGTGGTTGGTCTTATGCTGAGCGTCCCGGGGTATTCCTCATGACAGCTTTTGTTCTTTCTCAGATGGTAGGCAAGAAAAAACTAAAAAAGCAGTATTTTTTTTTCCTTCTGCATCAATGAAGTAAAGAATTTGTGATGTTTCTCTAAACAGAATCCAACACTAATTTCTGTATATGCGAACTGGGGTTTTGCTTCCGTCGAAGGAATTGGATGGCGCTGGGCTGGTGTGAGTTGGCTGTACAACTTGATTGTCTACATTCCACTTGATCCCTTGAAGTTGTTCATTCATTACACTTTGAGTGGAAGGAAAACGAATTTCAGGAGAGACGGGCGTCAACTTAGATGGGCACACGCCCTAAGGATCCTTCATGGCCGTGACCCACCTGAAACCGGGTTCACAGAGCACACCAACTGTAAATAATTTGATCGATTGGCTGAAGATGCAAAGAGAAACGCTGAGTAATAGAGGAATACTATGTTATGTATACTCTGTCAAAACTCTTAGATCTGAACCTGGGGGTAACAACATTTCACAGTTATCACTTTTCTTCTTGAGTAAAAAAAAAACGTATTAACTATCACCTTTAGAACTCAGGTGACCCAATCAAGAATAGAGGTAAAAACCAACCTCATGCATAAACTTTGTATCATTAACCATACTAAAGTAGAGTCTAAACATTTCAACAAACCATTTTAATCAATCGATGTATCACACAGAAGGTCTTACATTCTTGAAGACATAGCAGAATCAACAAGAGTATAATACACAGCCTTCCTCACAACATACCATTTATAATTGGATTTCACACATAGTTATTGGCGAAGAAGGTGTTCATCAATGCTCATTGTGCCCTGTGTTTGCTAACTTTGTTCTCGAGTTCATCTTTTTTGGCTCCAATGATCCTTTCAACTTCTTTACCTCTTTTCACCAGCACAAAAGTTGGCATAGCCGTCACGTTGAATTCTTTAGCGACATCCTGGAAAACATTCGTAATGCAGCAAGTTATATTTCTTCTCCTCAAAAAAAATTCGACTCCAAATCGGACAAAAACACAGTGAACTACAGATCAACCAGAGTAGTGAGGGATACAAATGTCAGAGATCACAGAAAGTTGAAACTTTGGTGCTATAATTTTAACATTATATCAGAATTCAGTTGATCTGAAATTGTACCATATAGCTAATCTTAACTTCTCACGATATTCGATATCACAAGACTCAAAATTCAGGCGACAAAGAAAAACATCAATCTATGTATCAAGCTGACTGATTGATGAGTGACATAAGTATCAGAGACATGCAAATTAGCATTACATACAAACACTAGTAGAGAGGAATTACAAAGCCTGAGCAATCTGAGGAAGCTTTCTTAACTTACAAAAGTGACTAATGCAGAAAATGAGTACTTACAGGGACTTCATCGACATCTAATTTGACGAAGCTAACATCAGTGATTTTTTCAGCCATTTCACGAATCGCAGGCATGATCATCTTACAAGGTCCACACCAAGAAGCCGAGAAGTCAATCACCATCTTTCAAAACCACAATTCGATTTGAAAATCAGTTAATTACAATGGAAACAAAAAAACCTAATCGGAATCGGATCGAAACACATACCAGTTTCGAAGATTCCTTAATCTCGTTGAAATGAAGCTGCCACCGAGCCGATGAGCTAAACGTCAGCACCTGACTAGGCTCGGATTCACTCGAAGCTGCATCCTCACCACCTCCAAGCATATTTGATAAAGCAGATCCCAT